GTTAATTATTCATATTTCCCCATGAGCTGATTCGCTACATAAGCATTACTATCCACATATTTTTTTTACAAATTGAGGGGCTGGGCAAGTCAAACTAATTTTCTGCTGAGATGTTGTTGATAGAGCTTGTTTTGAATATTTCTTAAAATGTACATTGCGGAAATTCAGATTTTCTAATATATTACAAAGACTGCTGTCTCAGCTAGCAGTCTAGAAACACAGCTCACTAGAGACCCTTACTGAGCTGTCAAGCTGCCTCTTCTGAGTCCCACTGTGCTTGACTGTTTATCATGAAATCACTGTTTATATTTCTATGTGGTGTGACCACAAACATTTATAAAAGGCATGTGACCAAATGGCACAAGATCAAACAAACTCTAAGTCTAAGTAAGACTCTAATATGGCTTCTAACAAACAGACTGTCATTTAAGAGTACGCTCCTGCGAAGAAAAAAAATCCCCATTTCTGCACCACTAGGCATCCATTAGGCTTCACAAGTCACATTCAGACCACCTTCATTTACATTTAATGGTCTGGAACAAACACTGACTTCTTAAAAACATATTATATTATCTTAAAGGGAACTTTACACAATGAATCACACAGATCTGAATGAAATATAGCTTGCGCGATGCTGGCAAAAAACTTTATAGTCATAATTGGTACCAGAAAGAGTCCCCTTCTCCACAACTCTCATGTGAAAAAAGCAGCCGGTTCAGCTTTCTACTGAAGAATAACGAGAGAGCATATTCAGTGAGTGATGGCCTTATACTGCCTCCAGTAAAGAGTGTGTTACTGGACTCTTAACTCCACAGAACTAATGCATGTTTCATCAAAGACACCTTGGCTTTGAGAGCAACACAAAATGAGCAATTTGCATATGCAACACTGTGTCTAGTTTTAGCTGAGGAAGGAATCTGTATTTCTTTCCAAACTTGAAAAACACAGAGGTGTCAGTTTTGTTGTGTATTATTTCTAAACCAGTGATTAATACGCACACAATGTTTTTTAAGCATTACATTATTACCATCTAAAAGGATTTTTAAAAAATAAATGAATATCTTTATTCAGAAAGATTAATTCAACTGATCAAAAGAAACATGAAAGACTTTGACATTGTTACAAAAATGTTCAATTTCAAATAAATGCTTTTATTTATTTATTTATACTCATCAAAAATGCTGAAAACATTGTAGCAAGGTGTAGCAGAACACTGCATAACAGGTGTGACACTGAGGACTGGAGTAATGACTGCTGAAAATTCAGCTTTGCCATCACAGGAATAAATTACATTTTTAGATATTTGGAATATATATTTAAAAACAACAAAACATTTTACTAACCCCAAACATTTGAACAGTAGTGCATATAATCAGCAATATATCAGCAACTTCCCTCTATATATCATTATCTGCATTAGCTATTTAAAAAGAAAAAAGAAAATAAAAAAATACATATTAGCTGAATACCAAAGAATACCATTTATATCGGAGCTGAGATGCCTTACATACTGTGGTGAAATGGCTGTACCACTCAAGAGTAATTCACAACAATGTTCAGTACAACTACAAAAAGACGGAACCCAGACATTACAGAAAGCAAGTCAACACATACTGTATGTCACAGAGCCTTTCTTCTTGACCAAATTTTAGGAAGGAAAGAGGAGTCTAGAAATGTGTACACAACAGCCAAATGTTTGGACACTTGAGTCCATTTTTGCTTCCTGTGGCCTTAAAAACCTTTTGATCTAAAGGCGTATAAAGGTATATACACATAGAAATTCCATTAATAATCTTTAAAAATCTACACATGGAAATTCAATCAATAATCTTTCAAATGTATAGCTAACTTGTAAATATAATAAACAGTACATGTAATCTGTGTTATAGAACTTACTTGTGGCCGAGCTCATGTGCGATTGTAAATGCCAGGGTCAGGCCTGTGTCTTCATTGATGCTGCAGCTGCGGTGAGGTTGGCACATTCCAGCCACATGAGACAGTCCCAATGTCTCACAAGGCTTATTGATGGCGGCACAAATGTCTCTTCTGTGTCATAGAAAATGGTTAACACGTGTATTATATATATGTAAAGCAATGCAATTTTGGTTACAATTAGGCCATATGTACCTAGTAATGAGGACAGCCACATCATGATGGACTGGATGATCATCGTCCTTCATATTGATGCCTTTCTGCCACTTACAGAAGCTGTTCAGGCTGTTGTCTGCATGATGCGTAATTTTCAAATCCTCCTGATAACATATAAAATAATTAAATACATAAAATGGGAAAATTGTATGTAAAGTTTGTATATGAAGTATGACATAATTATTGCGTTTAAAGAAGTATTACTACTTTATTATTAAAATGAAAGGCAAATCAAAATGTATTTATTTCAGCTTTTATTGAAGGTATTGTGTTGAGGAATGAGAATTTATGAAAGTAATGATTCAACTCTAAAATGCATTAACTTGTAGATGGTGGCAAACACTATGCATATAAATACAATGCAGTGGTTACACACTGTAAACCACAATGCCAAAAAAAAAAAAAAATCAAAGACTTTCCATATGTGACCCTGAACCACAAAACCAGTCATAAGTGTCCATTTTTAGAAATTGAGATTTATACATCATCTGAAAGCTGGATAAATAAGCTTGATGTATTGTTTGTTAGGATAGGGCAATATTTGGCCGAGATACAACTATTTGAAAATCTGCAATCTGAGGGTACAAAAAATCTAAATATTGAGAAAATCACATTTAAAGTTGTCCAAATGAAGTTCTTAGCAATGCATATTACTAATCAAAAATTAAGTTTTGATATATTTATGGTAGGAAATTTACAAAATATCTTCATGGAACATGATCTTTACTTAATATCCTAATGGGGAAACAACACTCTGGACTTTGTTTACACCACCCGGAGAGGAGCTTTCAAGGCCCTCCCCCTCCCCCTCCCCCACCTCGGTGCCTCAGACCACATCACTGTCATGCTAATGCCTGCATACAGACCACTTGTTAAAGTCACCAAACCAGTTCACAAACGGATACAAGTGTGGCCGGAAGGGTCGTCAGAGGCTCTTCAAGACTGTTTTAACACCACTGACTGGAATATGTTTAAGCAGGCTGCCACGTACAATAACACCACAGACCTCCAGGAGTACTCAGAGACTGTCACTGCCTACATCACCAAGGGTATTGATGATGTAACAGTCACAAAGACCATCACTGTCCGGGCCAACTAGAAGCCGTGGATGACAGGGGAGGTCTACGGACTCCTGAAGACGCGGAACGCTGCCTTCAGAGCTGGAGATGAGGTGGGCTTGAAGACAGCTAGGGCCAACCTTTCCCGCGGCATCAG